GAAGATCCATGTAGATTTCTTCATAAAGATCTCTGTGAAGAAAGGCATTATGGACGTCCATTTGATGAAAGGGCCAGTCACGTATGACAGCAATAGACAAGAAAGCCCGAACAGTGACATGCTTGGCTATTGGGGAAAAAGTGTCTTGGTAATCAAAACATTTTCTCTTGGTGAAACCTTTAGCAACGAGACGAGCCTTGTAGCGCTCAATGGATCCATAAGCACGATGCTTGATCTTGTAAACCCATTTGCAACCAACGGGTTTCTTATAAGAAGGACGTGGAACAAGATCCCAGGTATGATTCTGAGAGAGAGCACTGAGTTCACTGGCCATGGCTTGACGCCAATGTATATGGGGAACAATGTAAGAGTAGCAAAAAGGCTTTTGTTGGGCGGAAATCTGATTGATACAAATCTTATGGGCAGGAGACAGTCGATCATAAGTAACATAGTTGGAAGTAGGGTAAGTAGTACCTATGGTAGTGTGGATGGTAGGGAAAACATAGTCTTCTATCCAAACAGGTGGACAAGTGACCCTTGTGGAACATCTTTTAAGAGAAACAGGAACAATAGGAGTATTATCCAGTGGAGGCAAATTGGGAAGCTGGTTCTCTAGAGATGGATTAGGACATGTGGAAACTGGTTCTGAGGTCGACATGGAGGGTCCCATATCATGAATGGGATGCATGGTATAATAGGGTCCTGATAGATCAGCTGCTGAAGGATCTTCCAAAAAAGGTAGAGACTGCGGAGATTCATTATAAGGGGACCTATCTAAAAAAGGAAAGGAATCTTCAAAACCACATCCCTAGAAATCAGGAATTTTTCTGAGGTGATATCATATAGTCGATAACCTTTTTGACGCATTGGGTAACCTATAAAAACACATGAAGTAGCCCAAGGAGAAAATTTATCATGCCCTCTTAAATTTGTAGAGTGGCATAAACACCCAAATACTCGGAGATGATCAACTGTAGGTGGTTTACCAGAAAGAACTTCATAGGGTGTCTTGCCATCTAGAACTCGACTCGGCATCCTATTGATCAGGTAGGTGGTCGTGACCACACATTCACTCCAAAGGGTGGTAGGAATGTTGGCTTGGTGTTTTAGGGCACGGGCGACCTCTAGAAGATGTCGATGTTTCCGTTCAACTATGTCATTCTGTTGAGGGGTATAAACACAAGAGCTTTCATGGATAATTCCAAGAGAGGAAAAAATGACCGAACATTGAGTGTTGAAAAAATCCCTAGCATTATCAGTTCGAATCCGTTGAACCGAAAAATCAAATTGGGTTTTGACCATGGACAAAAAATGTATGATGTGAGTGAGTGTCTGTGTTTTAGATTGCATGAGGTAGACCTAGGTTCCCCGAGAGTAATCATTAACGATGGTGAGAAAATATCTAGAGCCATTGTGATTGGTTGTGTGATATGGACCCATATGTCCATATGAACTAAGGAAAATTTACGGGTGGTGGAAGGCGTGTGTTTGGGAAATTTGGTGCAGGACTGTTTTGCAAGAGGACAAATAGGACAATTGGGTTGAGGAATAGATGCACTATGACCCAAACATTGATGCAAAATAAAAGAAGTTTTATTAATGTTTGTATTAAAAATAGAACTTTTATTTCAGTAATACAAGACATTGAGTTTTTAGCATCAAAGGAACCTATCCAATAATAAAGACCTTGGTGAACTTTACCCAAGCCCATCAGATTCCCAGTCAAACGATCCTGAAACTCACATTTGTTAGGAAAGAATTTTAATACACATACATTATCTTGACATCATTTAGAAACAGAGATGAGATTGAAACGAAAAGCAAGAACAAACAAGACATTATAAATGATTAAATGTTTATTTAGATGAACAGTTCCTAATTGGGTGGCTGGTGCATGTGTACCATTTGACATGCGGACTTATGTGTAGGGTATAAGGGATGTGTGGGGAAAATGTTTGGGTTCGCAAACAATGTGGTCACTGGCCCCTAAATCAATTATCCAAAAATTTTATTTTGTAATATTGGAACAAAAAGATGTACCTGCGTAGGATGTTGTATTGGCCTGTAGACTTTGATTTAACATCTGCAGGATCTGATGATACTGTTCTTGGCTAAACATAGGGGCCGCAGCGTGATTCCCAAAAATGACAAGGTGACTTACTTGATTAGCAATGGCAGATCCAGACCGTTGGTTTTGGTGGCGGCCATGTAATTTCCAACAAGTGTCCCTCGTGTGGTTTCTCCGTTTGCAAAAATCACAGTAACGATTTTTGTTGGACTTGAATGGCCCATGAGAGGAATTAAAATTGGTGGAGTGAGCTAGGCCATTTCCCGAATTTGAGCCAGCTACAAAGCTTGAGCCATTTCTGGAATTTGGGCTAGCAACCAAATTCGAGCGCAAACTGTTATTAAGCCCAAATAACCCATTTGGTTTTAAGCCACTAGATGAGGAGATGAGATTTGGGCCGTTCACACCTCCATATAAAAGAATGCTTTCCTTTTCAGATTACCCTAGCCTCCCTTTTCATTTCCATGTTTCATCTCCGATGGTCCAGTCTGCCGTCGCTGTGGGTTGACTGCGAACGCAGCAGCCTCAGTATTGGGTTGGGATTCAGACGAAGCCGATCTCTAGTTTTCATCTTGCACGGCCAATTGGAAGGTGCGCCAGAGAGATGGCGCCAGTGATGTAGCCAACATCTGTGTTCGAAAAGCCAAAAAACTGTCATTTAAACCAATAAAAAAAATGGATTAACCTGTTTGGATACTTAAGGTGTTTGATTTGGTGAAGAATCGCGGAGGGCCCTTCAAGCAGTTCTTCAACAACGTCAAGTTCGTTCCAAATCACCGAAAGGCGATTGAAATAAACGGTGATTGGCAGGTTGTGTTGCTTGATTTTAAGAAGATTTTTATGCAATGTAAAAATCTTTGGAAGATCAAGTTGGCCATACATCTCTCTGATGTTTGTCCACATTTCATGTGCGTTCTCCGTCTGAGGCAAGCCAACAACAATCTCCTAGGTCAGGGAGTTGTTGATCCATGCGCGAACGTGAGTATTGCACCGAATCCAGTGCTGGGAAAGGTGTGGTTCAGTGGGTTGGGGAAGGGTTCCATCAATGAACCCTTCCTTATTTTTGGTTACCAGAGCTCGCCGAAAGTTTTTGGCTCAAGTGGCGTAATTTTGAGATCCGGCCAATGGCTGTTTTACGAGCGCAAGCTCAAAGCCATCGAAAACCGTAGAAATAACAGCATCCCCTGGTTTCGGTCAATTGGTGGAGGCTAGAAGAAATTGGAAGATCGGGTAGGGATTTTGACCCATCGGGTTAGGGTTTTGACCCATAAACCCGAATGGAAATGGGCCGGGTTGAAAGTTGAATCCGGGTTGTTGGTTGGGCTCTGGTTGATGGTTTGGACCAGTGTGGATGTTTGGGCCTGTTGGAGGAGTGGGATTAGTTTGGTTGTGTGGGCCTTCATTTGTGGCTGTGGACTTTGAGTCTGGTTCTATGGGTGTTTTGGTTGGGTCCATTTGGTGATGTTTGGAAAAAAAAAAAAAAAAAATCTAATCCTACTACCTTGTTTTGCAAGTTCAGAGAAACAATGGCTTAGACATGATTCTAGCAGAAGCAAAGATTTGCTCTGATACCATGTTAGAGTTTGAGTTGGAAGGAAGGCAGAAAAGGCAGCACATTGCCAAAGAATGCCAATGGATGAAAGCTTGACAAAGTGACTGAAACAGTGTCGAAGACTGTCAAGAAAAGAGATGATAAAAGACTGTAATTTTATGTATATTTCTTATATTGTAATGAGTACATCAACCAATTTATATAGTGGCTTTAAATACAATAAAGGTAATGAAATAATACAATAAAGGAAATGTAATAAGGTCTTGATTACAAAATATTACAACAATCAATAAAATAATTGTAAATCAATAATTGCTTGATTCCAGAATAAATATCTTCAGCATTTCATATTTCATCAGTTACTAATAGAGATGACTACTGGAGGGTTTACCTAATCATTAACTTCAGAGCTCTAGAGGATTAGTTGAGATACCTACAAGCTGACCCGAACACCCTTGATAAAAAAAAAAAAAATAGTAATTAATAAAATAAGAATATTTAACTTGAGAGAAATGAAAGAGAAAATGAGAAAAAAATATCACAAAGAATTTGAAAGAATCATATTTAATAAATGAATAGGTAGTATTTGTTATGTATAGTAAATGGTCTTATCATTTTCCAAGTTTACAACAAAATACATTAATATAGTTGAAAATGATACAAAGTAAAATTGATTTTAACTATAGAATTTCGTACAATTGTAGGTGTTTAAGTAAAACTACTTCCAAAATAATAAATGAACAAATCGAAGGTTATTTTTAATTTACTTTTCAAGTCAAGAATTTGTCGTTTACATTATACTTTATATTATCCCATAAATCATCAAATACCAAGTTTCTTATTTAAAATTAACTTTAGAAAAATAAAGAAAGCAACAAAATATAGATGGAGCCCAAAATTTTCCGACAAAACCCAAACTCAGTCATGCCATGACATTTTGTCTTTGGGTTTGAGAAAGTGGCTATGCTTTCGCCACGTGTTTTATGTTCTAAAGTTCCAAGTTTGTGTGCTATCCAGTAAGTTTAGGAAGATTTATCACCATTAACATAAAATAAATGTTATTTAAGGCCTAATTAATAAAATATCTCTTTGCTTTTTAAATCTATGCGTGATGTCCAAGGAGCCCTTCTCATTATTATTCATCTTGTTTATTTAATATCTTTTGCTTCAAAAAGAGCTTTCGGTAAATCAATTCAATCACTTTTGAGATTAGAAGGAGAATGTTTTATTTTATAATTTGTTTATAAAATTCGTATATAATTTGAATACAATAAGAATTTTTTTTATTTTTTTTTATTTTAATCAAATCGCCAAAAAGATGGTGAAATTAGCAACTAATAAAATGTCCTAAATAGATTAAAAAAACTACTCTCGAATTAATTTGATTTATAAATAGAACACTAACTAATAATTAATTGTTCAAAATTACAAAATCGTCAATAAGACGTTTGAGCTAACCTTTCTAGTTGCCAAAATCTGCTAACTCACTCAATTACACTCCCTAGTTTGATAAATAATATCCAATTATCAAACAAAATTTACTAATTTTGGAATTCTACTTCAACCTTTGTTCCTCAAACGCCAAAATCACACTATGCCACGTCACGAATTCTTGGCTGCTTAGTCACAGAACAGACAGAACTTGTAACACGGAAAATTACAAAAATCTCCCTAATATTTTTCTTCAGTAACTATCCATCCCACAAGTGACAAACACAGTATTAAGACACGTGTTCTATAGCACGTCTTCCACTAAAAATTCGTCAACGTTAAACTCGCTAAACTCATCCTCCCCAAAGTATTTCTCCGACGACACAAAATCAGGCAGACTTAACGGCGCGTCAATCTTGAAACCGAAATCGAAACCGAAAACGTCAGCGTCAACGTCAATGTCAATGTCACCGTAACCCAACCCGTTATCGAACGGAGTTAACTGGTCGTAACATAAAACAGAAGTGGGCGAAGGAGCAGAACTACCGTTAAGCGATTGATCTTGGACTTCAACTTTATGCTTTTGACCGACAACAACGGGTTCCGTTGAAACGGAGTTAGGAAAGTTTATAACGGCGTCAGCACCCTTTAGCTTCAGTGCTGCTTTATCATAAGCAGTAGCAGCTTCTTCAGGCGTATTATAAGTACCAAGCCAGACCCGTTTTCTTCTGGTCGGGTCTCGGATCTCGGCGGCCCAACGGCCCCAAGGTCGCTGGCGGACTCCTCTATACTTTTTGCAGGCAGTGACGTCAGCTACCGTTGACTTGAGCTTTGTGGGTTTCTTCTTTCTGGAGGGTTGATTTGTAGAGGGAGGTGGGGATTGTGAAGGACGAAAGAGTTGAAGGTTGATTTCTTTGACGATTCTTTTGACTTGTCGTGCAGAGTTGTTGCTGTTGTGATGGTGATAGGACTCTTCATCGCTGGAAGAATCAGTGGCGTCGGCGTCTGTGAGGATGATTCTAACGAGCCTTTGAGGAGGATGGATCATGGTGGGTTGTACTGAAGTTTTAGAAATCATTTGGAGGTATCAGTAACTGGAGTGGAAAGGCTAGGAGATGAACATGATGATTGGTATAGTGGAAGGTTTTGAGAGTATGGCAATGGAAAGAGAGAGAGAGAGAGAGAGTGAGAACTGAGTAAAATTAAGAAAGCGAATTGGGGTTTAAGATAAGGTGGCAATTTATAGAGGAAAAAAGGGCATATTAATTAATTATTAAATATTAAATTTTTACATGCAGGTGGGTTAAGTTAAAAGAGTGCTTCTGGCGGGAAAGACAGGGAATTACAGTGAGGGAAGAATTTATGATCTGCCTGTTTTCAAGACGTTGTAATTATTATTATTATTAATAATTTTTTAGGAAAATAGAGAATCTCAATTTATTAGCATGAGTTAGATATCAGAATTTAGTTGTGTTGTGGCAAATAGGTGAAAGAGTGATTGCGTAAGAAATAGGGTGGGGTGGGTCATTGTCGGAGGGGAGACGGTAACAATGAATCCAGCTGCCTATTTTGAGTTTGACGTGTCAACAGATCAATATCGATAATTTCCAAATAGTCTTCTCTTCTCCCACCATATAAATAAATATAATGCCTTCACATTTCACCATGCACCATCACATCGCATGCATGCTGATGGTTAAATGAAAAGGCGCTATAAATTAATTATTATTAGGTAAATGAAAAGGCGCTATAAATTACCAAGGAAAGACCATAATTCTGATGTAATTAAAGGAAATTAATTGTAGATGTTGAAAAAACGTGGTGGAATTTACGAAAGCATGCAGTGTCTTTGGGACACTATTGTCCACGTGACTTGGGAATTGGGAACGTCGTATATGTGTGAAGTCGCATGTATGTTTGACTCTACACATAACATAACAGCCCTCTTTCTACTTCAAAATTGTTGCTTATTTTAACAATTCAATTCAAATCAAATCAAATATCTTCTTAAATTAACAAATCTCACTCAGATACCGTCATTAATTAACATACGTATATATGTTATAAGGAATTGGAGTCTTCGTCAAACCTTGCAATCCTTCAAAAATAAAAAAATAATGATCTTTGGCCATGATCATCCATCTAAATCCTCATTGTTACAGGGTATTTACAAACGTAATAGAACTCAATTTAAACGATGATTTTGGTTTGAGAACAATAAAGGAAAGGATACATATATAAATAAAACAAGTGTAGTGTAATTGTTTATGGCTTGAAATAGAAGCAAAGGTAATGGACCAGAAGGAGGCGGCATGTGAAGAAGCAATCATGCAATTAAGAGTTGGAAAGGGGTAGCCCCTCATTCTCATTGCTTCTCAACTAAGCATAATTCATTCTACTTTATATATCTTCTTGATAGTATCATATTCATAATATTTTGACGTAACTGCTTACCTTTCATATTATACTTTCATGCATGCATATATGTTTGAGTAATACTACATTCACTAATTTTCTTTCACAAATGTCACGTGTCAACTCACAATTCGTTAGTTCACATTGGTTTCGCTTATCCAATAATAGGTCCCGTCTGACCAAGCCAATCACAATCTCCTACCTTGGGTTAGTGAGAGTTTGTTAGGTTATTATTTTATATGTTTTATCTTTTTAATAATCAACACAATTCCCATTAATATATTGCTTCTGCCTCTTACAACACGTCTTTTCAAAGAAGAGAGCTTTAAAAAATAAAAAAAATAATTATCGTGGGTCCAGGTCGGGCTCGGCCCGGGGTCAATTTTGGAAGGGCAAGCCCGAGGCTAAGGAAAAAGCTAGAGTTGTTAATACCTGGCTGGATTCACCCGGGCTTTAAGCCTGAGTTTGGTTAAACTGTCAGAGGTATTTATTATTTTACTATACATATGAGGGCATACATATGATATGGGGGGGTGCATGTCAATTTATATAGGAGTTTCTTTGTAACTTTACAAATGACAATTTATTTTAAAAAAAAAAAATGTGTTTAAACTTTTTAAAAAGATAGTTAATTATTTTAAAATATAAAAACTATGTGTGAAAGAATTGAGAATAACTGTATCAAATTGACTCAATTCAATTTAATCAACTCGATTCAGTTGATAATTTGATATATTTTTTAGAATACAAAACTAAATAATTTAATTAAATAAATTCACTTGCATTATCAATTATGAATGAAATAAAACTTCATTCTCCAATTACCTTATTTCTAAGGGAAATGATTTTTAGCCTCCACTATTTTTTTCTTTAGCCCCAACTTTTACTTTAGTTGAGGGTATAACTGTAATAAAATGTTTTATTCTTCTTCATTACACTTTAATTCCAAAGTTTTATATATATAGTTACCAAAAAAGTAAATGAAATTTAGGTCAATAAGAAATAATTTCACTAGTAAATTGAAGCTCATAATAATTATCAAAATTACTTAACATTTCTTCTTTATATCATGAATTAATTTTTAGATCTCATATCCTTCTAAACCTAAAACAAACACAACTCCATTTGATCTCTAAATTTGAGAAAACTATTGATGTTTACATTGTTTAAATTAAAAAAAAAAAAAAAAAAACTAATCATATAAGAAAAAATTACTAAAACTTGAATCAATCAAGGCGTTTATGTTAGTTTTTGAAGTGTTCTTGGAATTGTCAACTTTAGAAATAGAACACATTTATAAATTCTCCCTAATTCTTTTTAGTTAATATGGAGGACTCAATAAAATCATCTTGGGAACAAATATTTGAGAATCAAATACCGAAGACCTTTGTAAAATTTATTTGTAAGTGTAGTATTACTCAAAATAAAAACGCTACATTATGCAGAGCATGTTTAATATCATAACATTGTTCACTCATCACGATAATTTACTCGTTCACTCATCACGATAATTTCCAGTGAAGTATACATTTGAAGATATTTCCATTTCAGTATCCAGTTAACTAAAATTTTGTAAATAACTTGAATTAAATACTTCTGATTTCAAAATCTAACTTAGAACTTATCACTATTGTAGATGCTAATGACATTATTTATAATATCAAGAGTTCTGCAGTATATATCGAATAAGTATAAACGTATAAAACTTAACTCAAATAAAGAGCTTCAAGAAGATAATAGGTATACTGTTATAATTAACTGCCTATAGATCAAGAAGCTACATTGCTTATAAGACAATTTAAGCTTTACTGAATGCAATAACAAATTACAATTGCAAATATACTTGCGTAAACAAGAAAGTTGGGTCAAATTATAAGGCTAAGCAAAAGTGTCAACCTAATAGCTTAATTAATTCTCAAAACAATAACCACAAAAAACATAAATTATACCTAATGACTGGATGATTTCATGGCCTCCAAAACCAACTCAGTCTACTCCTTAATCAGATCATCCTGCTCCACAAACAACTGCAACCGAGCAATCTGCAACTACTTCCACCTTTCCTCCAATTCCACTTTTTTGGCTCCTCCAATCATATCTAAACCCTGGTTCATTATAAACTCCTCCAAACCAGTATCAAACAAATGCAGGCTCCCTTTCTTATCATTATCAATATCCATCTTCTTCCCTTTAGTTCCATCATTCAACTCAGCTTTGCAAAAAGCTAAGGACTCACTACTCCCTTTCTGGTTTCGATTCTTTTGCTTTGCTGTTAGACTTTGCCACAGATTTAAGGACACCACTAGTACTTCCATTGCCCCATAGCTTTTTAGACAAATCATAAGCTTCTTGTTCATGGAGTTTCGAAAAAGTCCTATCTTCACCTTTCTTCCCAAGATTGTTCTTATACTAGTGGATAGATTATACCTAGAGTGCCATAAAGTCATTTCATTGATTTACCTTGCTTGTAGGTTTAGGGGATAATAGAGGGTCGAGGAGAATTGTGTGAGTTAGTCTCGTGTCGAACCAAAACCGTAGCGGCAACGTTTTTATTATAAAGTCTTTATTTGTTTTAATTTCACGTTTTTATTATTTGCATTTAGTTTGTTTAGTTTAATTAATCAAATTGCCAATTTCATTTCCACTACTCAAATATACATTAGGTTGTTAGTCTTGCTCTATGTGGATTCGACCCTGCTTATCGCTAACTACGGTATTTAGGTTTAATTTTGTGGCTGTGACGACCGGTTCGACAAAAACATGGAAAGAATTACTCTTCTTTTTTTGTTGTTAGCATTTCTAATGGAGCTCCAAGTATACTCTTCTTGGATGCTCGGCGTGCACCGTTTGGACCCTGGTCATGCACATCGAGTGCACCCCGAGCAAGAGCAAGAGTGTTAGAAGTTGTATTTGTCCCACATTACCAATTTAGCAGACTGGGTTGTATTTGTCCTACATCATCAATTTAGTAGATTAAATTATATTTGTCCTACATCGCTAATTTGGTAGAGTCTTATAATTTATATATGTGGTTGAGCTCCCTCCTCCATTTGTTTCTTTCTTTGCTGGAACATGAATTTAAAGAGGTAGACTTAAAAGGAGAACAAATTTTCCTTACAGTTGTTTCATTCTTTGCTTTTTGGATAGAATGTCAATTATTGATATGGTGCTAGAGTATAAGCTTGGGCTTTCTTAACATGACTCATTTGACGACTCAGTACATGGATGTCACAAGTCTTATTGGCATGGAATCTTTTCTACGTAAGGTGCAAAGTTTGTTTGTTCATACAGGCAACATCAATGTACTTGGAAAACAGTTTACACGGACAAAGTGATTTGCTATTACAACTTAGGATTGGCTCACTGATATGGACGTTGTATATCTTTAAAATGTTATATCAAAATATTTGTGTGTCCGAGTATGTAGAATCTGTTAGCGCATTTGTAGATTAATAGCTTCTAGTTGTGCCAATCGACCCTCGTATTAATTTTAATTTGATTGTTGGCTTTTCATGAAACCTAGATAAGATGGTTGTTTTTAGTGGACAAATGTGATATGGTTCGGTTGTACTAAAATTTGTAAAGAGAATGGTATAATATATAACATTTTTCATACAATTTGAGTGCAAAATGATTGGTTGGTTTAAACTAAGAATAAACTTTCATCTATCATCTTTTGCCACGTCAAATTGTATGAAAAATGTTGTATGTGTAATTTATTTTAAGTATTAGTTTAATAACGGTATAACTTTGTTTGGTTTGTCGGTTTTTGGTATGGGATATTTTGATATTTTTAAATGGTTTTATGATATATTTAATTTTAGGAGGTTTTTTAAAAATTAAAAAAAAAAATGATAAACGGTTCGGTTCGAATAAACCATGTGCCGAAAAATGGTATTGTTGTATCACATGGTTTCTAGAAAAGAATGAAACTTATATTTTGTGCTAATAATTGTATCATATGGAACCGTATGGTTTTATGGTTTTTTTTTTTTTTTTCCTTCATTCTAAACCATGTCCTAAAAATACCGTATTGTACCAACAGTTTCTAGAAAGAAAGAAAAAAAAAAAAAAAAGTCAAATGTAATAATTTTGATTTTAATATGACTTGTTTAATTGAATGAAAGAAAGAAGAGAAATTTATTTTCGATGGGCCAACTGAATAATGAACTTTTATGGCCAATCTGAATTATTAGCAAATAAAATCTAAACAGGCCCATGTAGTCTGAATTATATTGAGAAGCTTGCCTATAATTATTTTTGATGACTTGTTAATTACATATTATTCTCTATTAAAATCACATAAATGCATTTATATTTTTTAATTAAGTACCTACACACTTTTTCTTTTCTTTAAACATTATTGGCATCCACAAATTTGAGTTGTAATTTTATTTTTACATGTTTTATTCTTCTTAATCACCTTGGTTGTGACAAAATTTCATTTAGATATTATAATCGCCGCTTTATAACTATGATTGGATATATATTTTAAGTATTCATAATTTACTTTGCAATCAAATTAGGGTGTTTTTATTTTAATTTTAGGACAAATGTGAATGAAGTGAGGAGTATTGTTAAATTTAATTTTTTTTTTTATGAGTTTAGTTTGGAGTATAAACTTTTTCCCACCTAAGGTTTGCCCTAATTATATGTTTCCATCCAAAAGTTTCAAAATACCACTTTCTCACCCACATTTATTGCGCTAACACCCAACCCACTTCATTTTCTCAGTTAATATTTGACGAGTTACTAGGAACCAAGGTAGAAGGGTTTTTCTATAGTAGAGCTGGTAGATAAGTGGTGGTGATCGATTAAATTTGTCATCCGAAAATCAGCTAAGAATAAAACCCTAAATTTGGTGTGATCGTAATCGACTTGAAATTAGGTGCCGAAGTGCGAGGAGTTTTGTAAGAGGAGATCAGAGGTGATGGAGAAATTTTCGCCGTCAAAATCGACTAAATCAGTTTTGGGTATATGGAATATTCACTTTGATAGAAATTATTTTGAAATTTTTTGGATGAAAAAATGCCATTAAAGCAAACCTTGGGTGGAAAAAGTCGTTTACTTTAGTTTGATAAAATGTGGGGGTTGAATAAGTTAAATTAACCCATTCGTACATAGTTTGAACTGATTTTTAAATTGAGTAATGCTATGCTTACTCACGAACTTATTACCGCCTTACTCACATTTGTTAAATTTATATTATCCATACTATGCTTATGATATCTATACTATACTTTATATTTACACACATTGTAAGATATAGATCATGAATAAACATATATTTTGTTTTAATTTGCCTGCACTCTACTCAATTGTGGTGATTGGATGTTTACTTTTTCTGTTTTTCTTGAAAGTCTGATTGGCTGCAAATAATACGAGAACGTGACTCCAGATATGATATGGTTAGGAATTCTGTTCGGTGACTTTTTTTATACAACTTGGGATAGATAAACCCATTACAAATTGGCGAATCTACCAATAATAAATTACCTTATTGCATAAAATGTTGTATGAAAAAATTATAAATATAATACTACTCGTTATATTGAGTTGAATTAGTTCCACTTTTATTATTGACAACTCAACCCCCTACACGCCATATCGGCATTTTAGTAAAATAAAAAAGATCAAACCATTCATTAGTCATAAATGCAGTTACTTTTAAGTTTAATCAATAATAATAATCAACACGACAAGATACATTAAATTAACACATAAATCACATGATACACCCGAGGTATAAAAACTCTCCCTAATGCATAATTATTATCCAAAGCATAGGATACACACCTACTTTCACAACTATCGGTACAGTGGTTATTATTAATCTAAGTCCAACAATTAAAAAAATTACCACTTTTCATTTCAAGTATCCAAAAATAAAAATACACAAACATTACATTACAGTTGTTTTCCCTTTTTTTTAATGTATTCCCAAACAAAATATTCACAAGGAAACTGACAAAGTTCTTCCACACAACAGTCCCAATAGACAGAAACAGGAAAGACGATACTCTAGATATTTCTCCTAATTTTACCAAAATGAGAAGATCATGGACTCTGATTTCTATCCAGAGGCCGGCGCCAATTTATCACCATCACCCATTGCATATTTCTGAGTCCGCTCGAGCCGTGGCCTCATACTTGGTCTTGTCAGTCTTGTACATGTGGGCAATTTCAGGGACAGAGGATCATCCGGGTTTGGGTCTTTCAAAGAGAGCATATAGATAACACCTATAATCCAGATAATGTTTAGTTAATATGGAGGACTCAATAAAATCATCTTGGCAACAAATATTTGAGAATCAATTACCAAAGAATCTGCAACAGCGTTAAAACATATAAAACAAAACCTACATTATGCAGGCATGTTTAATATCATAACAGTGTTGTCCTTGCAATGGAGCTTCATAAGTCTTAAAGATATTTACTCCAGGTTGTCAAGCAATTTCCAGTGAGAACATTTGAAGATATTTTCATTTCAGTATCCAGTTAACTAATTTTGTAGATATCTGGATTAAATCCTTCTGATTTCAATATTTAACTCAAAACTTGTCCCTATTGTAGATACTCAGGATATTATTTATAGCCAGCGAGTTCTACAGTATAAATCATAGCATATGTATAAAACTGAACTCAAATAAATGAAGAGCTTCAAGAAAATATAGGTCTACTGTCACAATTAACTGCCTATAGATCAAGAAGCACATTGCTTGTAAAATAGATTTTATGAACATTGCCAAGAGCTCACTTTACCAAGAAAAAACTAAGAGATTACAACTGTTATCTTAACAATACATGGAGAAAATCTTGTATGAAGCCGGTGGGCTTCTCCATATCATCATCACACACACATCCTCTACATCTCTTCAACCTGACCTATGGCTGATAAGGATGTTTGACGTTTAGACAAAAACCTAGGGTATGGATAGTGATTATCATAAGTTTAGACAAGAGAATGCAAACATAGCATATGTGTTTAATTTATTAAACTAACAATATTAATCTATTAACCATGATGGTGTGTGCACGTGCTCATTAAAAACACAACCACGAGTAGTAAGGATAATGAAAAATATAGCCATATAAGTAAACTTCCTCATAATATTGTGAGGAACACTCACAACTCTACACATATTTGGTTAATTAAAGAAGACAAACCCCAACAATTAATTATGATGTCATATAAAATCGATAATTAAATTAAGCAGAATGATGATAAAAATAACAAGGGAGAAAATAGTAAAATCAAACCTTGGAAATTGTAAGTGCTGGACTCCACTGCTCCTTAAGAATATCTAAACATATACTGCCATTGCTATTAATATTAGGGTGGAAAACTTTAGTCCTAAATGCAACCTGAAACATATAATTTGAGAGCATTGTCAAGCCTATGCATACATAAAATACAAGGCCACATGTAATCAAGAAAGCAAAGCTGACTTCAAATTGAAAAAAAAAAAAAAAAACAAAAAAAAAAAAAATTTCCTAACATCAGTTTCTTAAAAGGTAAAATTTTCATAGAACATTACATCCCAACCTGAAGTGCAATCCGACAGCTAGGCAATATTATCTAGTTGTTGGACCACAAGTTTTTAGGGCATGTTTGTTTATACTTGAGAAAGACCACTCCTTTAACAGAAAATCAAAAGAAAAGAAAAAATATCTAGTAAAAGATTCTTTTGAGGTCTGAAATGGAAAAACAACTGAGCTCCGGCTGGAAATTGTTCTAACAAACGGATTTTGCCCAATTTTAATAAATCCCATTTAATTAAAACAATAATTACCTGCAATAAAATTATTGAATCTCTCAATAAACTACATTATAAAATACATGAGTTTCTGTACAGCTTTTCTTCTTCACTATTACCCAATTAAAAATTATGTATATTGTTTCGAAATGATGGCTAAAGCTCAAGAAAAATACCAAATTAGAAAATCATAAACTGCTCTAACACATCAAACAAACAAATTTCATATGCAATAGATACCCAAAACCTAAATTTAAAACATTAACGGATGATAATAGAAAAAATAAAAAAAGAATTGAAGATAAAAATTAACCTTAGGGGGCTTAAAAGGATAATCAGGAGGAAAATGAATAGAAACGAGAAAGACTCCGCCGGTATAAGGGCTATCAGTTGGACCCATAATCGTTGCTTGCCAGTGAAACATATCTTCACCAACCGGACCTACAATAAAAAATCTCATCAATTACCTCTATATATAAACAATTCTCATTCTTTTAATGTTATTACCTGCACTGCATGATGTTGGGGGATCCTTCTGTAAATCTTTGAGCTCCTTCAAGATGCGTTTGGACGCCATCAATGATCAAACTACTATAACTCTACAGATGATGATTCATTCAACAACCGCGGTTATGTAATATTTATAGATATTGAAGGTGAAGGAGAAGGAGTAAACACCTGCCTCTGCTTCTAGAATTTTCTCTCCGTAAGATCCACGCTCCTTTAATATTTTAAATAGATGGTTAATATCAATTTAGCCCTTTGAGTTTCTGAAATTATAATGGGGAGAAATTATTGTTTTTTATCAAATTAATGCCTCGAAGGTTTTGAAAATTAATTAATTGCCTTAATGGATTCAAACATATATAAGATAATGAGAATTGGGTGAAAGAATCGGGTTTATATTGTGTAGAGGAAAGGGAACATATTAATGAAATTTTAAAAGGACAAAACTTTTGTAATCTTCTAAAATGGGACAAATTAACAGCAAAATTTAGTAGAACAAATTAAAAGACTTTAATACCCTTCATAATCGCGATATATATATAGTGTTTAAATTACAAATTTAAAAATAAACTAAATTATATTTGCTCAGATACCCTTAGGCATTCTTTTCCTTTAATTTGAAGAAATTAACAAATTAAATTAAAAATTGAAGTAATTTTAATAATCTGAAATTTGAAGTTTAAAAAAATAAAATGAATTTGAAGATTATTAAAATTACTTCAATTTTTAATTTAATTTTGTTGGTTTTTTAATACTTGTAGTATTAAATGTCTTTATTTGTTAATTTGTAATTAAAGTGAATTATATGTGAGAATATTTAATTAAAAAATATTATATTTTAATAAGGCTATGCAGGATATTCGAAATGGGCTTCTTCTTCAATCTTCACCATCTGTCTATTGTTATTCATAAATTTATTTTGAAAAGATGATATGACAATGTTACTAGAGAATAATAATCTATTCAAATTTTTGTAGGCTGTTTATCAATAACAACGCATGAAGAACCGGATAAAACTCAATCTTTGGTTATAAATTAAAGACCTAATAAGAACATGAACATCCTTAATTCAAAGAATAGACTTTGACAAAGATAAAAGATATGAGCAAATTTCATGCATAAGAAATTGACAAAACTCGTGTCCAAGTAAACAAATCACGAATATTATCAAAAATCATACCAATTTCCAATTCGCTTTGCTACTAAAACATCCAAAAAATTACAAAAGTTTAATTCAACAGCCAAGAATATCATCATAACGTGCCTTAAGCTTCCAGCAATCGAGACCAGTAGTGCTGGCGCTGCCACCAAAATGATCATTTCTGATAATAAATCCAACTCCGGTCTTGTGCACTGCATGCATTTAGCCATTAATTACATTCTTTTTCTATATTTATGAAGCCATGGACTGCAATACTGATATGAACAGGCCATTTGTTTCCATGAAATTGTAATTTATGCTACCAAAAACTAGGAACAAATCAACTCAAAAATTCAAATACTTGAGATAAAACAGCTCAACATTACATTTAGTTCCGCTTCCTCCATCAGCTTGCTTAACACCTCCACATTTCGCCTCCATCTGCATCCTATACGTCTTCAATCCTCCAACATAAAATTTTACATATCCAGTTAATAATATATCGACAACCATCATGCTCCCATTAAAACTGTTCGGATCATCAACTTTAGAATTTCGCTCAGAGGTACTCATCACATTCAACGTTGTAACATTCCCCGTCGCCTGCGAAAACCCTTCCACATTAGCCTGCGCTAATATTTTTTGCAGCGAAGACATCTGAAACGCTAATGATCCATAGGACAAATAAACTCTCTCATTATTGTTGGTAAACTCGACGGTGAAATTTGAATCATAATTCAACGCCCTTTGCCCTATTGAATTAGGATGATTTGATCTTTGGAGTTTAGTAATTCTAATTTGAGGCAAAGCGGAACGGAGAATCGAACAAGAAGCGAAACCGAGGACGAGAAGAAGAAGAAGAAGAAGAAGAGTTGTTAAAGCCAAGCATGTCCATGAAAAACAAACAGAAAGGAAAGGAGGATGTCGGGGAGAATCTTTATGGATTTTATAATTGTGATTGATAATGGTTTCAGAGAAGGCAACGCGCTTCTTGTGTCGCCCCTGAGAATCTGTCAATGGCAATAACTTAGGATGATTGTTATTGGTTTCTGCAATCGCCATTGGCACAATCAAAACCAATGGACGTGGAAATGCTATATTTTGCATGTTAAATTGCTTCTTTCACCACCCCATTTTTTTTATATATAGGAAAATGAAAATCTACTTATTCATCCTGAGGTGGGGTTGGGGTTGGGGTTGGGGTTCACCCAAACTTGTTATCATTTTTATTTCTAAATTCTTGCTTGACAATTTTTATATATGGAGGAATTTAGTGTCTTAGATAAGGTTACTATGTATAGAAGAAATTATTGTATAGATAAGATTATCTTAGTATCCATTTAAGACAAACTGACATACTCATAAAATAAATCTGTTTGGAACAACTTGTTGCAATAGAACTTATAGAAAAAGAGTTTATCAGAGCAAAACTTATGAAAATAATAATTTTTATGGGAAATTCGTTAGTTGTTTGATAAGGAAAATGTAAAAATGTTTTCTAGTATTAATTTACAAAAGAAGGTTTTAACGTAATAATAAATCAAATCAAATTTATTAAACAAAATAAGGATATTTTTAAAATTATAACACGTTGAATAAACTCAAAAAGAACTTATGGGATATGCTCAAATTTTGAATTTCTCTTACAAGCCGTAATATAACTTATTTTAATTTTTATAAACGCTTTTGAATGCAACTTAAAATTTTTTTATAAGTGTAAATAAGCTCCTTTAGCCATTAGATAAGACCAACCAAACATGCTCTGAGTATAAAAATGAGTAAACGATTTTTCCTCACCCAAATAATGGTTTAATAACACTTTCCACCCTCAAACTTTTAAAATATCATTTTATTACCTAAATTTATATTCCGGTTCCAATTACGACAACATTGTGACCCCACACCACCACTATTTTCTTCCCCGATCATCACTTATCAAAACCCCTCAAACCCTACTCTCACCAACCTTGCTAATCGCAGACAATCGAGTTATTAGGGTTTTCATAACCGCCCCTCCCAAGTCAAATTCTGATTAATTTCAACCACAAAAGTTCAATCTTCCACTATCAAAAAACTCATCGATCTCATATCTTCAAAAGCCCCAACAGCTTGGAACGAATTTGCTTCCTGTTCACCACCAAAATATAAATTTGGATCATTAAGTAGTATTTTAAAAATTTCATTAAACCATTATTTGGGTGAGAAAAAGTTGTTTGTAAAACTTACATTAAGTTTCCGGAATGTGGGGAATAATAGTTTGGCTAAACCCTAGCGGTGAATAATTAATTTTCTCATATATACATATAGTGCCTTGATAAACTTATAGAAAAAGCTGTTTGGAGTCTCTGGACAGATTAACTAACATTGATTGAAGGTCATCAAATGATTCACAAAGTTGAAATGAAAATTATTACAACAAATTTTTAAATGAAAAACCCATCAAATGAGTTGAAAAAAAGGAAAAAAATAAACCTACATTCCTAAGAAAAATTGCACAATTGAACAGATTCACACTGTACGAAGCCACCACAGATGCATCAAAGTTCCAAATAATGCTTGAGAAAACATCACTATGATCTCCCCATAGAAAATACTGAATCTTGAAATAATTAGGCACAAATTTTGTAAACAATCATGGAGTCTGCACATTTGAATCCTTTGATTTGTTCTCTTCAGATGACGGCCGGTTTTCCGAGTCAGATTGCCGGATTTCTTCAATCATTCTAACAACTTCATCCATATTAGGCCTCATGTCTGGCACTTTTGCCACACAAGCCATGGCAATTTGCAACATCTGCACCATCTCTTCTTCAATGTTCTGGAATCTCATCAACTCGATGTCAAAAACCTCAGCTGTCCATTCTTCCCTAACAACAGACTGAACCCACCTCGGAAGATCGACCATATCATCACGGCCTGGAGACTGGAGTGGCGCTTTTCCAGTCAGCATCTCAAGGAGAAGAACACCAAAACTGTACACATCTGATTTATGACTGTGCTTACGAGTTTCAATCACTTCGGGAGCACGATAGCCTGCACTCCGAGATGGAGTTGCAGGAACATTCATAAGAGGGGTCAGGCCAAAATCAGAGATGCAACCATCAAGATCTTGGTTGAGAAGGACATTTGAGGATTTAATATTTCCATGAGTGAATTTTGGGCCACCCATGGAATGAACATGAGTGATTCCTCTTGCAGTCCCAAGGGATATCTTTATTCTGGTGTCCCAGTCAAGTGGCGCTCTTCCAGCTCCCCGGTTTCCTGTCAACAAATATATAATGCAGGGTATAAGAGAATCCTCCAGATGAAACAGCTGGACTAGACCAAGGCAGATTTCTAAAATAACAGACCATTGTAAAGAAGGTAGCAGAAATCCCATGTACTGATGGGTGGTTCTGCATAAATGATATAAATCCTAATTAATACGCCTCAAGTTCTGAAGAATATCCAATCTTTTTTATTTAACTTAGATTATCTGGAAGTTAGTATCATCCAGGCTCAAGTCCTAAAAATATCCAAGCTTTTCTATATAACTTAGATTATCAGGAAGTTAAAATCATCCAAGTTGCATTTTCATACTTTCTTATGGAAGCAATTTCACAGTCAATTACTTTCCCGGGATTTAATAATTTCTGAACCATCAACACTGAAATCCATCCGTACCATAAAAACGTACTCCTGTTTCTTCCAAGTAATCAAGCCATGTCAAATATAATGGTAAGAATCCTATGTCACTACACAATCATCAAATCCGTCACATATCCTTGGAAACTTATTTTTATCCTATACCAAATTATAATATTGCAAGTCACTATGTAACCATGATAACAACATTAAATATTTAAGTCACAATTTGTCAACTAATTTAGAGATCATATATCTGCTGATATGATGAATCATTTCTAAATTGAGTCATAGATCTCCCACAACATAAGAAAATAAAGTAGTCATCAGTTCGATTATCAAGCTACTATCTCAAGCATACTCCCATTTTTAACAGGTTAAAAAAATCTCTAAACTACAGATCATTTTTCCACAGTCAAATCACTACATAATGCCACATAGAATAGGTTTGTTGTCATTTTATTTTCTAATTTTCACTCATTTTAATATGATAAACTTCCAGCAATAATACATGTTTATTCATAAGCATAGTAATATTCATATTCATATTGCCATATATCTATTTCCTCATATTTGGGTTATTAAAAACTTCCCGAGTTAATAATAAAACACCAGTATGCTAGAGTCCACATTGATAAATTGTAAGATCTAAACAGACTACCTTTTTACATATGGGGGATTTTTCAATAGTCTCACAATAGTCAAGTATAAAGATATGAACTCTTGACTCCAAATATGAAGATAAGGGTAGTAAATTTCATAGGTTTACGTGTCATAAACATGGCAAGATATCTCTTTGTCAGTTTTCAAGGTAACTCTAAATTTTAAAACAAAATAAAGCTTCCTAGTTACTCCTTCATTCTTAATTATTCTTTGACTTGAATAAAAGAAACAGAGTAGCACAAAAAGCATACCATGCAAAAGTGTTGATAAGTTGCCACTTGAATAATAATCATAAACCAATAACTTTTCATCCTTTGAGTAGTAATAAGCACGAAGTGGCACAACATTTGGGTGTTGCCCAACCCTTCCAACAGTCTCCATTTGCTGTTCAAAGTCCCTCTTGCCCACAACCACTTCCTTTAACCTTTTAACCACTACTGTCGTTGATTCCTCCAGGACAGCTTTATATGCTGTGCCATAACTACCCTTACCCAGCACTTCAGCTGAAGCCCTTAATAAATCCTCAAGGTCAAAATTATAAGAGCAACCTTCAAAGAAAACCAGGAAAAATTAACCACTTTTCTTTCAAGTATCCAAAATAAAAATACAAGCAAACATTACATTACAGTTGTTTTCCCTGTTTTTTAATGTATTCTCCAAACAAATATTCACAAAGGAAACTGACAAGTTATCTTCCACACAACAGTCCCAATAATGAAAAGAAACAGGAAAGACGATACTCTAGATATTTCTCCTAATTTTACCAAAATGAGAAGGATCATGACTCTCTGATTCTTCCAAGAGGCCGGGCGCCATTATCACCATCAACCCATTGCATATTTCTGATCCAGCTGCGAGCCGTGGCCTCATACTGGTCTTGTCAGTCTTGTACATGTGGGCAATTTCAGGGAACAGAGGTCATCCGGTTGGGTCTGTCAAAGAGAGCATATAGATAACAGCACCTATAATCCAGGATAATGTTTGTTTAATTGGAGGCTCATAAAATCATCTTGGCAACAAATATTTGGAATCAATTACCAAAGAATCTGCAACAGCGTTAAAACATATAAAACAAAACGCTACATTATGCAGGGCATGTTTAATATCTAACAGTGTTGTCCTTGCATGGAGCTTCATAATTCTAAAGAAATTTACTCCAGTTGTCAAGCAATTTCCAGTGAAGGATACATTTGAAGATTTTTCATTTCAGTATCCAGTTAACTAAAATTTGTGATATCTTGGATTAAATACTTCTGATTTCAATATTTAACTCAAAACTTGTCCCTATTGTAGATACTCATGATATTATTTTAGCATCAGAGTTTACAGTATAAATCGATAAGCATAAATGTAAAACTGAACTCAAATAAATGAAGAGCTTCAGAAGATAATAGGTCTACTGTCACAATTAACTGCCTATGATCAAGAAGCACATTGCTTGTAAAATAGATTTATGAACATTGCCAAGAGACTCACTTTCCAAAGAAAAACTAAGAGGATTACAACTAGTTTATCTAACAATAACATGGAGAAAATCTTGTATGACGCGGTGGCTTCTCCATATCATCATCATCACATCCACTCTACATCTCTTTCAACCTGACCTATGGCTGATAAGGATGTTTGCCGTTTAGACAAAAACCTAGGGTATGGAATAGTGATTATCATAAGTTTAGACAAGAGAATGCAAACATAGCTATTGTGTTAAATTTTATAACTAACAACGTATATTATCTATTAACCTTATGGTGTGTGCACGTGCTCATTAAAAAACACAAACCAAGAGTAGTAAGGATAATGAAAAATATAGCCATATAAGTAAACTTCCTCAAATATTGTGAGGAACCTCACACTCTACACATATTTGGTTAATTAAAGAGACAAAACCCCAACAATTTAATTATTTGTCATTAAAATCGATAATTAATTAAGCAGAATGATGATAAAAATAACAGGGAGAAGAAAATGTAAAATCAAACCTTGGAATTGTAAGTGCTGGACTCCACTGCTCCTTAAGAATATCTAAACTATACTTCCATTGCTATTATATAGGGTGGAAAACTTAGTCCTAAATGCAACCTGAAACATATAATTTGAGAGCATTGTCAAGCCTATGCATACATAAAATACAAGGCCACATGTAATCAGAAAGCAAGCTGACTTCAAAATTAAAAAAAAAACGAAAAAACAAAAAAATTTCCTAACATCAGTTCCTTAAAAGGTAATTTTCAAGAACATTACATCCAACCTGAAGTGCAATCCGACAGCTAGGCAAGATTATCTAGTTGTTGGACCACAAGTTTTTAGGGCATGTTTGTTTATACTTGAGAAACCTACTCCTTACGGAAATCAAAAAAAAGAAAAATATTTAATAGAATCTTTTGAGGTCTGAAATGGAACAACTGAGCTCCGGCTGGAAATTGTTCTAACAAACGGATTTTGCCCATTTTAATAATCCCATTTATTAAACAATAATTACCTGCAATAAAATTATTGAATCTCTCAATAAACTACATTATAAAATACATGAGTTTCTGTACAGCTTTTCTTCTTCACTATCCCAATTAAAATTTGTATATGTTTCGAAATATGGCTAAAGCTCAAGAAAATACCATTAGAAAATCATAATGCTCTAACACATCAAACAAACAATTTCATATGCAATAGATACCCAAACCTAAATTTAACATTAACGGATGATAATAGAAAAAATAAAAAAAGAATTGAAGATAAAAATTAACCTTAGGGGGCTTAAAGGATAATCAGGAGGAAAATGAATAGAAACGAGAAAGCCTCCGCCGGTATAAGGGCTATCAGTTGGACCCATAATCGTTGCTTGCCAGTGAAACATATCTTCACCAACCGGACCTACATAAAAAATCTCATCAATTACCTCTATATATAAACAATTTTCTCATTCTTTAATGTATTACCTGCACTGCATGATGTTGGGGGATCCTTCTGTAAATCTTTGAGCTCCTTCAAGATGGTTTGGACGCCATCAATGATCAAACTACTATAACTCTACAGATGATGATCATTCAACACCGCGGTTATGTAATATTTATAGATATTGAAGGTGAAGGAGAAGAGTAAACACCTGCCTCTGCTTCTAGAATTTTCTCTCCGTAAGATCCACGCTCCTTCAATATTTTAAATAGATGGTTAATATCAATACCCTTTGATTTTCGGAAATCTAATGGGGAGAAATTATTGTTTTTTATCAAATTAATGCCTCGAAGGTTTTGAAAAATTAATTGCCTTAATGGATTCAAACATATATAATAATGAGAATTGGGTGAAGAATCGGGTTTATATTGTGTAGAGAAGGGAACATTAATGAATTTAAAAAGGACAAAACTTTTGTAATCTTCTAAAATGGGACAAATTAACAGCAATTTGCTGTTAATTTAGTAGAACAAATTAAAAGACTTTAATACCCTTCATAATCTCGATATATATGTAGTGTTTAAATTACAAATTTAAAATAAACTAAATTATATTTGCTCAGATACCCTTAGGCATTCTTTCCTTTAATTTAAGAAATTAACAAATAAAATAAAAATTGAAGTATTTTAATAATCTGAATTTGAAGTTTAAAAAATAAAATGAATTTGAAGATTATAAAATTACTTCAATTTTTAATTTAATTTTGTTGTTTTTTAATAGTTGTAGTATTAATGTCTTTATTTGTTATTTGTAATTAAGTGATTATTGTGAGAATATTTAATTAAAAAATATAAATTTAATAAGGCTATGGAGGATATCGAAATGGCTTCTTCTCAATCTTCACCATCTGTCTATTGTTATTCATATTATTTTGAAAAGATGATATGACAATGTTACTAGAGATAATAATCTATTCAATTTTTGTAGGCTGTTTTCAATAAGAACCGGATAAAACCAAATCTTTGGTTTTCATTAAGACTAATAAGCAACAAGACTTTGACAAAGATAAAGATATGAGCAAATTTCATGCATAAGAAATTGACAAAACTCGTGTCCAAGTAACAAATCACGAATATTATCAAAATCATACCAATTTCCAATTCGCTTGGCTACTAAAACATCCAAAAATTACAAATTTTAATTCAACACCAAGAATATCATCATAACGTGCCTTAAGCTTCCAGCAATCGAGACCAGTAGTGCTGGCGCTGCCACCAAAATGATCATTTCTGATAATAATCCAACTCCGGTCTTGTGCACTGCATGCATTTAGCCATTAATATCTTTTTCTATATTTATGAGCCATGACTGCAATACTGATATGGGCCATTTGTTTCCATGAAATTGTAATTTATGCTACCAAAAACTAGGAACAAATCAACTCAAAAATTCAAATACTTGGATAAAACAGCTCAACATTACATTTAGTTCCGCTTCCTCCATCAGCTTGCTTAACACCTCCACATTTCGCCTCCATCTGCATCCTATACGTCTTCAATCCTCCAACATAAAATTTTACATATCCAGTTAATATATATCGACACCATCACGCTCCCATTAAAACGTTTCGGATCATCAACTTTAGAATTTCCTCAGAGGTACTCATCACATTCAACGTTTAACATTCCCCGTCGCCTGCGAAAACCCTTCCACATTAGCCTGCGCTATATTTTTTGCAGCGAAGACATCTGAAACGCTAATGATCCATAGGACAAATAACTCTCTCATTATTGTTGGTAAACCGACGTGGAAATTTGAATCATAATTCAACGCCCTTTGCCCTATTGAATTAGGATGATTTGATCTTTGGAGTTTAGTATTCTAATTTGAGGCAAAGCGGAACGGAGAATCGAACAAGAAGCTAAACCGAGGACGAGAGAAGAAGAAGAAGAAGAAGAGTTGTTAAAGCCAAGCATGTCCTGAAAAACAAACAGAAAGGAAAGAGGATGTCGGGGAGAATCTTTATGGATTTTATAATTGTGATTGATAATGGTTTCAGAGAAGGCAACACGCTTCTTGTGTGGCCCTGAGAATCTGTCAATGGCATAACTTAGGTGATTGTTTTTGGTTTCTGCAATCGCCATTGACACAATCAAAACCATGGACGGAAATGCTATATTTTGCATGTTAAATTGCTTCTTTCACCACCCCATTTTTTTTTTATATAAAAAATGAAAATCTACTTATTCATCCTAAGGTGGGTTGGGGTTGGGGTTCACCCAAACTTGTTATCATTTTTATTTCTAATTCTGGCTTGATAATTTTTATATATGGAGGAATTTAGTGTCTTAGATAGTTACTATGTATAGAAGAAATTATTGTATAGATAGATTACTTAGTATCCATTTAAGACAAACTGACATACTCATAAAATAAATCTGTTTGGAACAACTTGTTGCAATAGAACTTATAGAAAAGAGTTTATCAGAGCAAACTTATGAAAATAATAATTTTTATGGGAAATTCGTTAGTTGTTTGATAAGGAAAATGTAAAAATGTTTTCTAGTATTTTTACAAAAGAAGGTTTTAAACGTAATAATAAATCAAATCAATTTATTACAAAATAAGGATATTTTAAAATTATAACACGTTGAATAAACTCAAAAGAACTTATGGGATATGCTCAAATTTTGAATTTCTCTACAACCGTAATATAACTTATTTTAATTTTTATAAACGCTTTTGAATGCAACTTAAATTTTTTTTATAAGTGTAAATAAGCTCCTTTAGCCATTAGATAAGACCAACCAAACATGCTCTGAGTATAAAAATGAGTAACACGTTTTTTCCACCCAAATAATGGTTTAATACACTTTCCATCCACCTCAAACTTTTAAAATATCATTTTATTACCTAAATTTATATTCCGGTTCCAATTACGACAACATTGTGACCCACACACCACCACTATTTTCTTCCCCGATCATCACTTATCAAACCCCTCAAACCCTACTCTCACCAACCTTGCTAATCGCAGACAATCGATTTATTAGGGTTTTCATAACCCCCCTCCCAAGTCAAATTCTGATTAATTTCAACCACAAAAGTTCAATCTTCCACTATCAAAAAACTCATCGATCTCATATCTTCAAAAGCCCCAACAGCTTGGAACGAATTTGCTTCCTGTCACCACCAAAATATAAATTTGGATCATTAAGTAGTATTTTAAAATTTCATTAACCATTATTTGGGTGAGAAAAAGTTGTTTTAAAACTTACATTAGTTTCCGGAATGTGGGAATAATATTTTGGCTAAACCCTAGCGGTGAATAATTAATTTTCTCATATATACATATAGTGCCTTGTAAACTTATAGAAAAAGCTGTTTGAGTCCTCTGGCAGATTAAGAAAGAAAGAAGAGAAAATTTATTTTCGATGGGCCTAACTGAATAATGAACTTTTATGGGCCAATCTGAATTATTAGCAAATAAAATCTAAACAGGCCCATGTAGTCTGAATTATATTGAGAAGCTTGCCTATAATTATATTTTGATGACTTGTTAAATTACAATATTATTCTCTATTAAAATCACATAAAATGCATTTATAGTTTTAATTAAGTACCTACACATCATTTTTCTTTTCTTTAAACATTATTTGGCATCCACAAATTTGAGTTGTAATTTTTATTTTTACATGTTTTATTCTTCTTAATCACCTTGGTTGTGACAAAATTTCATTTAGATATTAATAATCGCCGCTTTATAAACTATGATTGGATATATAATTTTAAGTATTCATAAATTTACTTTGCAATCAAATTAGGGTGTTTTTATTTTAATTTTAGGACAAATGTGGAATGAAGTGAGGAGTATTGTTAAAATAATTAAATTTTTTTTTATGGAGTTTAGTTTGGAGTATAAACTTTTTCCCACCTAAGGTTTGCCCTAATTATATGTTTCCATCCAAAAAGTTTCAAAATACCACTTTCTCACCCACATTTATATTGCGCTAATACCCAAAACACACTTCAGTTTCTCAGTTAATATTTGACGAGTTACTAGGAACCAAGGTAGAAGGGTTTTTCTATAGTAGAGGCTGGTAGATAAGATGGTGGTGATCGATTAAATATTTGTCATCGAAAATCAGCTAAGAATAAGAAACCCTAAATTTGTGGTGATCGATAATCGACGTGAAATTAGGTGCCGAAGTGCGAGGAGTTTTGTAGAGAGGAGATCAGAGGTGATGGAGGAAATTTTCGCCGTCAAAATCGACTAGAATCAGTTTTGGGTAATAATGGAATATTCACTTTGAGTAAGAAAATTGTATTTTGAAATTTTTTGGATGAAAAAATGCCATTAAAGCAAACCTTGGGTGGGAAAAAGTCGTTTACTTTAGTTTGATAAAATGTGGGGGTTGAATAAGTTAAATTAACCCATTCGTACATAGATTTGAACTGATTTTTAAATTGAGTAATGCTATGCTTACTCACGAACTTATTAACCGCCTTACTCACATTTGTTAAAATTATATATGATATCCATACTATGCTTATGATATCTATACTATACTTTATATTTACACACATTAGTAAGATATAAGATCATGAATAAACATAATATTATTGTTTTAAATTTGCCTGCACTACTACTCAATTGTGGTGATTGGATGTTTACTTTTTCTGTTTTTCTTGAAAGTCTGATTGGCTGCTAAGAAATAATACGAGAACGTAGGACTCCAGATATTGATAATGGTTAGGAATTCTGTTACGGTGACTTTTTTATACAACTTGGGATAGATGAAACCCATTACAAATTGGCGAATCTGACCAATAATAAATTACCTTATTGCATAAAAATGTTGTATGAAAAAATTATAAATATAATACTACTCGTTATATTGAGTTGATATTAGTTGCCACTTTTATTATTGAAACAACTCAACCACCCCTACACGCCATATCTGGCATTTTATAGTAAAATAAAAGAAAGATCAAACCCATTCATTAGTCATAAATGCAGTTACTTTTAAGTTTAATCAATAATAATAATCAACACGACAAGATACAATTAAATTAACACATAAATCACATGATACACCCGAGGTATAAAAAGCTCTCCCTAATGCATAAATTATTATCCAAAGCATAGGATACACAATCCTACTTTCACAACTATGCGGATACAGTGGTTATTATTAATCTAAGTCCAACAATTATAAGAAANTTGTAAAACTTACATTAAGTTTCCGGAATGTGGGGAATAATAGTTTGGCTAAACCCTAGCGGTGAATAATTAATTTTCTCATATATACATATAGTGCCTTGATAAACTTATAGAAAAAGCTGTTTGGAGTCTCTGGACAGATTAACTAACATTGATTGAAGGTCATCAAATGATTCACAAAGTTGAAATGAAAATTATTACAACAAATTTTTAAATGAAAAACCCATCAAATGAGTTGAAAAAAAGGAAAAAAATAAACCTACATTCCTAAGAAAAATTGCACAATTGAACAGATTCACACTGTACGAAGCCACCACAGATGCATCAAAGTTCCAAATAATGCTTGAGAAAACATCACTATGATCTCCCCATAGAAAATACTGAATCTTGAAATAATTAGGCACAAATTTTGTAAACAATCATGGAGTCTGCACATTTGAATCCTTTGATTTGTTCTCTTCAGATGACGGCCGGTTTTCCGAGTCAGATTGCCGGATTTCTTCAATCATTCTAACAACTTCATCCATATTAGGCCTCATGTCTGGCACTTTTGCCACACAAGCCATGGCAATTTGCAACATCTGCACCATCTCTTCTTCAATGTTCTGGAATCTCATCAACTCGATGTCAAAAACCTCAGCTGTCCATTCTTCCCTAACAACAGACTGAACCCACCTCGGAAGATCGACCATATCATCACGGCCTGGAGACTGGAGTGGCGCTTTTCCAGTCAGCATCTCAAGGAGAAGAACACCAAAACTGTACACATCTGATTTATGACTGTGCTTACGAGTTTCAATCACTTCGGGAGCACGATAGCCTGCACTCCGAGATGGAGTTGCAGGAACATTCATAAGAGGGGTCAGGCCAAAATCAGAGATGCAACCATCAAGATCTTGGTTGAGAAGGACATTTGAGGATTTAATATTTCCATGAGTGAATTTTGGGCCACCCATGGAATGAACATGAGTGATTCCTCTTGCAGTCCCAAGGGATATCTTTATTCTGGTGTCCCAGTCAAGTGGCGCTCTTCCAGCTCCCCGGTTTCCTGTCAACAAATATATAATGCAGGGTATAAGAGAATCCTCCAGATGAAACAGCTGGACTAGACCAAGGCAGATTTCTAAAATAACAGACCATTGTAAAGAAGGTAGCAGAAATCCCATGTACTGATGGGTGGTTCTGCATAAATGATATAAATCCTAATTAATACGCCTCAAGTTCTGAAGAATATCCAATCTTTTTTATTTAACTTAGATTATCTGGAAGTTAGTATCATCCAGGCTCAAGTCCTAAAAATATCCAAGCTTTTCTATATAACTTAGATTATCAGGAAGTTAAAATCATCCAAGTTGCATTTTCATACTTTCTTATGGAAGCAATTTCACAGTCAATTACTTTCCCGGGATTTAATAATTTCTGAACCATCAACACTGAAATCCATCCGTACCATAAAAACGTACTCCTGTTTCTTCCAAGTAATCAAGCCATGTCAAATATAATGGTAAGAATCCTATGTCACTACACAATCATCAAATCCGTCACATATCCTTCGAAACTTATTTTTATCCTATACCAAATTATAATATTGCAAGTCACTATGTAACCATGATAACAACATTAAATATTTAAGTCACAATTTGTCAACTAATTTAGAGATCACATATCTACTGATATGATGAATCATTTCTAAATTGAGTCATAGATCTCCGACAACATAAGAAAATAAAGTAGTCATCAGTTCGATTATCAAGCTACTATCTCAAGCATACTCCCATTTTTAACAGGTTAAAAAAATCTCTAAACTACAGATCATTTTTCCACAGTCAAATCACTACATAATGCCATATAGAATAGGGTTGTTGTCATTTTATTTTCTAATTTTCACTCATTTTAATATGATAAACTTCCAGCAATAATACATGTTTATTCATAAGCATAGTAATATTCGTATTCATATTGCCATATATCTATTTCCTCATATTTGGGTTATTAAAAACTTCCCGAGTTAATAATAAAACACCAGTATGCTAGAGTCCACATTGATAAATTGTAAGATCTAAACAGACTACCTTTTTACATATGGGGGATTTTTCAATAGTCTCACAATAGTCAAGTATAAAGATATGAACTCTTGACTCCAAATATGAAGATAAGGGTAGTAAATTTCATAGGTTTACGTGTCATAAACATGGCAAGATATCTCTTTGTCAGTTTTCAAGGTAACTCTAAATTTTAAAACAAAATAAAGCTTCCTAGTTACTCCTTCATTCTTAATTATTCTTTGACTTGAATAAAAGAAACAGAGTAGCACAAAAAGCATACCATGCAAAAGTGTTGATAAGTTGCCACTTGAATAATAATCATAAACCAATAACTTTTCATCCTTTGAGTAGTAATAAGCACGAAGTGGCACAACATTTGGGTGTTGCCCAACCCTTCCAACAGTCTCCATTTGCTGTTCAAAGTCCCTCTTGCCCACAACCACTTCCTTTAACCTTTTAACCACTACTGTCGTTGATTCCTCCAGGACAGCTTTATATGCTGTGCCATAACTACCCTTACCCAGCACTTCAGCTGAAGCCCTTAATAAATCCTCAAGGTCAAAATTATAAGAGCAACCTTCAAAGAAAACTAGCTTGTTTTTCTCTGGTTCTTGCACCCCACTTCCAAACTCCTCTTTAGGCTTCTCACCCCTGCTACTACTAGAAGCCTTCCCTTTAGATACACCATTGCTTTGATTATCTTTTTTCTTCAAACAGCAAAATAAAATAATTAGAGCTAGAAAACATAGTGCGACGGCTCCTCCTACAGCAATGGCGATGATAGCACCCAATGCTAGTTTCTGTTTGGAGCTTTTTTTTCGGGGTAACACAGGGGGTGGAGAAGAAGTAGGTGATGGAGAAGGTGGAATAATGGAGCACGCTTGTAGTGGTGGTCCACATAAGAAAGAGTTTCCTATAAAAGAGGAATTGGGGAACTTTTTAAGGGACAGTGGGATTGAACCGTTAAGATGGTTGTAGCTTAAATTCAAGTGCCTGAGCTTAGTGTCATTTAATGTGGGAATGGGTCCAGAAAGGTTGTTGTTCTGAAGATTCAATCCAGTGAGTTGGGTCAAATTTTTTATGCTCTGCGGAATGTTTCCCGTTAAGGAATTGAATGAAAGATCCAATACAGTGAGTTGTGGTGAAAGGGATGCAGGAATGTCACCAGAGAAGTTATTATGTTGGAGAAAGAGGTAATGCAGAGAAGGAAGGGAGACAATATCAGAAGGTAGACTACCAGTTAGTACATTAGATCGAAGGCTTAAAATCCTAAGGGCATCTAGTTTCCCAAGAGTGTTGTTTGGAATAGGGCCTACAAGTCCAATTCCTGGGAGCCGGAGTGCAACCACACGAGTATCATCCTTTGTGCAAGTGATGCCCACCCAAGACTGGCAGATGGGATTAGTAGAGCTCCAGTTGAGTTTCCTTAGATGGGGAACCTCAGCTGCAAAATCAAGAAGGGCTTGTCGATCCGAGTTCAGGTCTGTAACAGCTGAAGCAAACAGATTGACTATGATAAATAGGAAAGCAAACACTGAAGTGAATTCTAACTTCATGAGGAGTTGTTTGACACAGGGTATCTGAAATTGAATGCCGTAACAGAAAGGAACCCGATGGAGGCCCTGAATTCCTGGTAAACCACAGAGCAACATTAGACACCTAGAAACACAAATCAACAACCACTAATAGAAAGAGTAAATAAATAATCAACAGGAATCTTTACAAGAAAAGAAAACAAGCTCCATCTATGGACAAGCCAAAACAATAATAACTACAAAGATTCGCAATTGTAAAAGCCAATGCAACAAATCTTTTCGTTAATTTTCCAAATGATAGAGATGGTGCTAATTTTCCCAAACAACAGAAATTATACAGGAGAATTCTTCCCTCGATTTCTTTCTGATCTATAAAGTATTAAAGTTATAAAACCATAAAAGTTATATTTTTATGCTTAAAAATATATGCACAGAAATAAAGCATTGCCTACTTCTGCTGCTAAAATGGAGCAATTTTTTTTTTTTTTTTTTTCCCATTAAAAATACACAATACTGAAACCCAAAAGTACTTGTTCAAAGCTAAGAAATTTAATAGCTATTTCAACCATTGAGGGACTGAAACATCTACATTCAGATAACATAATGAATTAGGGAATTTATCAACTTTTTCATTAAAAAGTTATCTCAAATTTAAAAAAGAAAAAGTTTGTTAAAAATACATAAAAGTAAGCATTATCAAAAAGCAGCAATACAAACAAAGAAATAATAATAAGTGTATGAAATTTAAAGCTCCATTACAAATACATCTAACTTTACCAATTACACAACAAGCACAAAACTTTCAATACAAAAAGAGTTTTAAATTCTCATAAACAACAAAAAATTATGACAATGCAAGCAACATAACACTAAACCCACAAAAAAATTTATAAACGTATATTCAGAAAACGGATTTTTTCGTAAAATAAACCACATTTACATAATCAATCAAAAACCCAGAATGACCCAGATCTACCGAGTGAAAAAGATGAAAAATTTAAAACTAAAAAAATGTAAATTGAAAGTGTACCTGTCATCCAATAATGAGTTGACAGGTCAACTCAGCTTGAACATTAGAGGTAAAACTGAAGAGTCTATGCAATAACATTTGCTCAGGAATGTAGGAAGTGGAGTTCCAGATCCAGCATTTGAGGTTGAACTAAAAAAAGTGAAGTGGGAAGTAAATTAAGATGAATTGGAGACACGTGGGGATGATGTGAGACATGTTAGAAGCAGTTGTTTTGAGCTGGCTAGAGGTTAAAGAAGAGAGAATTTTGTTAAAAAAAAAGAAAGAAAGAAAAGCAATGGGGTTTGACTGACGATGAAGAGAGTGAGAGAGAGAGTGAGAGAGAGAGTGAGAGTGAGACTTTCTCTCTTCAACACCTTTTAATGTTTCTTCTTTAAAGTCAAGCTGTGTGTAGCCGTTTACTTGTAGTATTATGCCTTCACATTTCTCTCTTTTTCTTCTTTTGTTTTTTAATTTGAGGATTTGCATTTTACAAGAACCTCCCATAAGGTTTTCAGAAACTACAACAAACTCCCATAAAGTTTTTGAAATAGGCATTCACCTCACTTGCCTTTTTGTGAATTTATGTTGATTATTGCATAATAATCACCTATAGGAGCTCTACGTCACTCCAAATATTCATTCACCTATAAGAGATTTACATTGTAAATAAAAGTTTAACATCCCTTAAATATGTTATTTGGAGGGTTTACGCCAATGACCCTCCTCGCCAATTAAGGGTGTTAAAAAAAAAAAAATGCAAAAACCGAATCGAATTTTTGGTTATTCGAAAAACTGGTTCGGTTCAAAGAAAATAAAAAACATAATTTTCGATTCGGTTACCGGTTTAGAAAAATACGGAAACTGGTTAACCAAAACTGGTTAATTATAAAAATATTAAATTAAAAATACATTAAATATTAAATTAAAACTGGTTAATCGATTTGGTTTCAATTCAGAAAAATTCCTAAACTAAAAAACCAGCTCGATTTACAAAATCAATTAACTAGTTTTGAACATCCCTATCACCAACCTCTTGATCTTGTTTTGTGCGGTAGATTTGACAAAGAGAAGAGGACCAATTGCCTTAAATATGTCCATGTGTGAACTCCCATGGGTGGTGTTGAGAAGGGACCATTGGAATATGAATTCATTTAATATAAGAACTACTTTAAAGTTTTGAATACCATTTTCCTTGGCTAAGTATACAGTGTATTAAATGAGAGCATTCAAGTATAGCTAGCTTGATTGGTTACCTTAGAATACGGCAACCCAACCAATTAATGACGCAAGGCAAAATGCTTTAAATTTAGAGGTGACTCTATTTCCTTGAGGTTGAGGAGAGGAATATCCAACTACTCTATTTTATTTTTTTTAATACTCTTAACAACTCCCACCAAATCAATTTAATTCATGTTTTTATAACCATGCAACGTGGATCCTTGTACTGATTATTCATAGGTTGTTATCTTGTCTCTTTGAGCTCATATAAAAATACATAAGAGATGATTAATTAAATTTATCCAATAAAAAGAGATATGTTTGAAAGGTTTAACTTAGTAACTTAAGGTATAATATTTATTATTAAACTACAACTGTGTAGCCAAATGGTAAAAGAATAAAAGAGAATCTAAGTTTATATGGTCTCTCAAGTTCGAATCCTCACAACCCCTGATAAAAGTGGTCATTGACATTTTTACCTGACTGACAGTTTCAAGATCTTTAAAAATAATTGAGGTGCGCGTAAACTAGCTTGAACACTCTTGGTGATAAAAAAAAAAAAAAAAAGCTTTGTTAGTTATTATTTATGCTTAATGTTAAATGTGGTGAATGATAATTAAGTTACAACTTAGATTGATGGATGTTTACAACCAAGATGAATCATTTTCTATTGCTTTGAATCAACCAATCTAACCTATATAACATATCCATGAATGACAAGTTTTAACTCTTTATTGATCATCATTCCATGACTTGCATAAAATTAATGTATCCTTTATTAACTAATCATTGGGTATTTATACCAAAATATGTTTACCTTTTAATTACAATTATACCCTTCTTTTTAATGGTTAAAAGTTTAATTTTACAAATACATTTTGCTAACCTCATTAATTTTGAGACTTAAATAGTTAAATGCATGGGTAAATGAGATATTTTATAAGATTTACATTTTGTTAAATAAGATATTGTCTTCATCATATAGTGCTAAAAAAAATATTTTCCTCATTACGTTGATAAATAATATAAAATAAACGATTTCGATGCTTTGGATGAAAGTGATTAAATTTTCGTTAGTTGCAAGGAAGCAAATCAGAAAGCATATACTTCATGTTAACGCAATCAAATTTCTTATTAATTAATAAATAAATAATCTCAAAATTCAACCAAAAATTACAAAATCATCATTATCTAATTTAATTTTCTATCAAACCATATATACCTAGACAAAATCCAATGTGTTACATTGCAATAAATGTAATAAATCCAACTAAAAACTAATGTATCCAACATAGGGGTGTAATCAAGCCAAACCGAGCCGAGCCGAGCCGAGCTTTGGGCTTATCGAGCTCAGCTTGGTTGCTACAATATTGAGCTCAAGCTCGACACTAAAAAATTGAGCTTGGGCTTAGGCTCGAGCTCGACCAAAGATCGAGCAGGTGGAGTGTTGTGTGCGAGCTTGAGTGGCAGGCACTAGGTGTGGCCTTTTATTGAACTTCTGGTATGCTTGTTGGAAAGAGGTGGAGTTAAGACCGTTTGGGGTTGCTAGCGACCGGAAAAACAACAACACAACCACCAACACTTTGAAATCCCTTCAACAATCAACAAACTTCCAAACAAACACAAAACAAAACTCCAAACGAACAAGGTCGCAAGCAAACTTGAAAAAACCCAAGTGTTGTCGGTCGGAAACAAAAGAAAGGAAGAGGAGAAAAAAGAAAAAGAAAGAAAGGAGAAGGAAAACTAGAGAAATATGAAAAAAGAAAAGACGACGAAGGAAAAAGAGGGGCTAAAAGAGAGACATAAGAGATAAGAAAAAAATTATAATATATCAAGCTCGGCTCAGTTTGCGAGCTTGACGAGTCGAGTGGTGGCGTGTTCGAGCTCGGCTCAACAAGTCAACATTGTAGTCGAGTCACTAGACAGAAGTCAAGCCGAGCCCAAGCTGTTCGCGAGCAACTCAGCTCGGCTAACACCCCTAATCCAACCCAAATTGAAAATCAAATTTTCAAATTTTTTTTATATATAATTTGAATAATTTCCTTCCAGCATGATCATTCTGAAATTGTAAAAAATTGTGTACTAATTGCATCATGTACTTTTATTGCTAAATTAAAATTGAGCTTAAAATGATTATAGATTTGAATATTAAAATCATACATTTGCTGATTTTCAAGTGTTAGACTTGATAAATAATAATAATAATAATAAGTTATTAAGAAGAACTTTGAAAGAATGAAGTTGAAACAATCATTTTGTTACGACTTTTTATTCTAAAAGCACATGGTAGGGCCATCACTTTTTCTAGAATTAGGTGAAGGCTTAGGCCATGCATCGAAATTTTAGATACTGTAGGTCCCTTTATAATATTTAAGAATCATTATTTTAAATTACATTTTATTTATTTAAATTTGATTTATTGTAGAAAATTATTTATGAGATCATTAATTAGTTTTTTTTATTAGAAATTAAAATATTAAAATGTTGCTTAGTTGTTGAACTGATTAAGACAGCTTAACATACAATATTAATAACTGTTACATGAAATATTAAAATGCCAATATATAATAAAGAAATTAAAAATTAAATCATGTCAAATTAAAAGTACTGTAATTTTGACCTTGACATTCCTACATATTATTTTATTTAAATAAAATTTGACCCTATTGAAAATAAGTTAAAATTGTATACAAAATAAGTTAATCATTCTCTTCATACCTTGCAAATAATATTCCTTGTTATATATTTAATTATTTTTATTTTTTTTAATAAAACAACACACCAGAATTGAGTTGAGTTGTGGCAATATGTAAGAGTGTGTTTAAGCAGTGGATGATATGAAAATAATTAAAAAAGAATAATTGGGTTGTTAGAAGGAATATTATTTAATTTATTAAAGAAATTGGGAACAACAAAAGCGACAAACACAACAGCAAGTGTTGTTGTCTGAATTATAGATCAAACTAAAATATTTATTGTCAAAAGAATCCTTCATTGATAAAGATACCAGCATTTCTCCTACTTTCTGGTCAACCAAACTCTGTTTTTATTGGACACTTCCTCTTGTCAACCATCTTTCGGATGTAGCCATGAGTGGACTCATACCTTAACCTTAGACTTTGTAGAAGCAAATCATGAGTCCAATTACTGTGCTAACCTCTTATGGTTAATGTTTATTTTACATTAAAACCCCTGAAAAATCAAAAGTGTATCAGTTTGAACTTTAGTCAGATACTTGGGGTAAACAAAAATTTGCCATTAACTAGATAGGAGTTGTATGTAATGGGGTGATTTTGACTTAAAATACAAATACAAGATCTTCTAGTGTGGGATTTGTGTTTGACTTAAGAGTGTATAAGGACGTTTTAGGATTCCCTCTTTTCGCATTGGATTCCACTTTATAGATTTGAGATTTATTCAACTTGTTAATTTCCACACCAAAAATAAAAACGATTCCTCATCAGCTGAATCGTTCAAGAATAATCCAATTATGGAGGCTCTATCAAACTCTTAATTGAAGAATCCAAGTATCCAAGATGATGTGTTTTTCGTTGCTCTAATGAATATATAAACATATAAAGCTTTTGTCGACTTTCACATCACAGAAATTACCCTAAAATTCTTGTGTAATTCTATGGTATTGAAAATTTTAAATGATGATATGATAATGTCAAATTCAATGATGTGAATTTTGGATAGTGCAACAATGCTATACGGCTCAAACATTAGACAAACACTTGTGGCCCTCTTCATTTGTAAAATTCAAAGTCAGTGTCAGGTTTCCATAACCCTTTTCAAAGTCCTTTGGGTTGGGAGTACTATGACGTACCGATTCTTGCGTATTGCAATGCATTCCGACTCCTTGACAG